CTGATTGGCCAGAGTTTGGTGACAACATCCGGCGTGACACGTCGGGCGTAAGATGCGGTAAACAGAAAGCACGGCTATTATTGTTGCAACAATGGCGACACCGATGGAGGATCACCGGGAATATCGACGGCAACAACCGGCAAGCACGACGGCGTTCTTCTAGTAGTCGTCATCGCAAACGCGCAACCTACACTTTTCAGTAAGCGTGGGAGCTTGTTGTATCGCTCAACGACGCTATTCAATTGCCAGTTCTCGATCCATCCATCTTCGTCGCTGAGTGAGGAGCTTTTTCGTTGGCAATTGGTGTTTCACTGAGGAACTTTCGGTGGGTGGCGACACAGACAGGTTCGCGTGCTCGAATGTTCTGGGACCCCATGAGAAGGGGGCTAATATTGTGTAGACGGTGTGTGTGTGTTTGTTTTTGTCTCATCTCTTCTGGATTCAGTCTATCTACACCTTTGGGTACATATATTTTTTGCTTTCAGGCGGGGTCACACAGGCAGTAGCTTTCGCAGTTTTTTCGTAATAAGCAAACATGTTGAATAAAGCATACAATCGGGGAAGTTGGGTATGGGTAAGTGTTAGGGAATAAGGTCTGCGTCCCCCCTCTCTCTTCTATTTCCTCATATGCTCATTAATCGCGCGAAGGCGGGGTCACACAGGAGGAGCAAGGCAAAAACAGGGATCTTCTTTTGCATGGCGAAACAGCATGGCACCACTTCCACGATCGGATCGGCAGTGAACAATGTGTCGTATGACGAAAAACAAACTATACGCGTACTCATTACAACGGACAACAACAGCATCATCAGAAGGGTACATCTTCCGTCAAAAGCTGAAACAAGTAATAGCGTCGGGTGCGCCATTCATCACGTGGCCCACCTGGGAGAGGCGACGACCAGCATGTCGACAAAGTCGTCGTACAGGACCTTGTTCTCCGCGCGGGATCCAGGGTTAGGGTTGCTACCGCCGTCTCCCCCCTCGGCGCTGAACTCTCGGACGACCTCGGCAAGCTCCTGCTCTCGATCGGGTCCAATATCGAATCGAACATTACAGAGGACGGACGTGGTGGGTCGGTGGCCGGGCTCAGCCTTGCGCGAAGCAAAAAGCGCAAGCCTTTGTTTCGTGAGAGGTGTCTTCGAGCGGCAACCGTTTCCTTGCGGTGACGTCACCAATGCCCTGTAGATACTACAGTACTTGGTCTCAGAAGAGGGCGACTACTACAACACGGCGGTTTAAAAGTTCTTCGAGGGGCTCAATGTTACGCGTCTCTGCGAAATTTTGTCGGACGACAACCAACCAAGGTTCGCTAGAACCATCGGTAGTGCACCAGGGGCGTGATATTGGTGGTGGTGTTGTTGCCAATGCCATTCTTGTTGTTCCTCGTGATGCCAATATGTCTGAACCACCTCGCTGAGGTCACGAGCTTGGCAATAAATGCTCGTGCCAGGCAGAAAAAAATGGGTATAAACAACATATATACATAGTTTGCGTGTTCTTTAGATCTAGCATTTTTGTGACCACGGATTGCGTCGTTGCTAGATCTTGGGATAAGCAACTGACACGAGTTTTATGTGAAGACAACAACAACAACAACAACAACAACACCAACACACATAAAGCAGGTAATAATAATTCTGATTGACCTCATCGGACAGCGGAGTCGCGCCGGCCTTTGCAGAGGGGGCTTGGATGGCCTCGTACTCGATCTGCCGAAGGGTGCGGATGAACTTGGTCTCGCCTATGGCTCCCTGACGTTGTGGTCGTGGCAGCAGCGATCGTGTCAGTGGTGGGAGGGGAAGGGGCGTGATGGTTGCGTGGCAGACGTGGATGATGAAGTCGACGTTGTTGGCGTTGATACACCGTTGCGGCGGGAGGAGAGGGGGCACAGGGAGGGAGAACATCAAGCTGTGCGTTCCGAGCTTTGTTTCAAGGAGCTTCATTGTTTCCCTGGCTGAGGCGTTTGCATCGATATTCTTGCTGGTGGCTATTACGGGAAGAATCACACCCTATCTTCTGTCTTTCCGAGCCATGGACAATCGGGTATTTAGGGAATGACGCTGGCGTTCACGGTGACAAGGGACTCTAACAGTAACAACTTGGCACGGACAGCAAGCAGGAGGATCCCTTAAGCTAGCGAGGACCTCCGGCCAAAATTCTCTTGCTGTCGCCGCCAAACACGGCAGGCAAAGGCAGCTTCCACAACACCGCCGCCTCCACCACCACCGCCGCAGGACGACCTTCTTAGGTTCGATCTTTTCTCAGGTTCGACAAGAACATTCCCGACGCCTCCGTCTAGTCGGACCCGACGGCGACGACAACGATGATGACGACGGTCTTCTTCTCACCTTCATGGAAGGGTCGTTGGCACGGAAGACCGACCTCACTGGCAGCTTGGCGGAAGAGAACGCCTCCGCCAGGCGCGTGACTGCCAAGTGCGCCGATCCCTGCGGGAAGATCTCCTGCGGTGGGTGGGTGGGTGGGTTCGGGGGGGGGGGGGGGGGGGAA